TTAAACACTAGACATTGCTTCTTATAAAAGGTCCTTTGATCAAAGGTCAAGCATTGATAGTTGATGAGCAGGACAATGACAAGATTTTGGCAGGTCATAACAATGTAAAATGATTTGATTGGTTGCTGTGATCCCATTAATTTGTAGGTTCATACATGCATAATAATGTGTTTGTAATTGACCATAAATGTGTTTTTATTTTTTTTTTTTAATGCAGATATATATATATATATACATGAAAGTGTTACTAAACCCACAACAGTAAAATCAATCTGTAAATGCAGTAAAGCATGCTTGTTATACTCACTGTGGAACCTAAGGGGCTTATTCTCTGCATTGTGAAAAAAAGGATGTTTGATCCTGTCTTCTCTGATCCTCCCCATCTTCTTCCACAGTTCACAATTCATCTTCTGATAGCAGACAACCTTGAGGGCAAGCTGCACATGCTCAGCTTGGTGTGTATTGTTAGGTTTTGTTTCCGTTTTTTTTTGTTGGGAGAGGATGTTTGATCATGTCTTCTCTGATCCTACCCTTCTTCTACTGTCCCCAATCCATCTGCTGATAGAACAGAGCCCTGGAGGCAAGCTGCACAGGATCAGTTTGGTGTGTATTGCTAGAGAGTTTTTTCTTTTTCTTGGGAGGATGTATGTGATGAGCACAGGGCCAATCTGTGCTGTCCAGACAGAGGGTCAGGGGTCCTGCAGCCTCATAAGTCAAGCAGGGGAGAGTGAAAACTCCTCCTACAAACTTTAACCAGTGCTCTGCTGAACACTGATAGACATTACAAGACTGCTATGACTGCTGATAAGAAAAGGTATTTAGCAGTTTATATTTACTGAAATATTTGCATTTCCATGTTTTGTGTACTGTGGGAGACCAGATATAGTGAATGCAGGGTCCTGGGTAACACTTTAATGTATGATCTGCGGTATTCATATCCAATATAAAAAGGTAAAATCTCCAGAGCTGCAGTATATGAACATTTTGTAAATGATAGGACACCTATCTGTGGTCAGACTAACGTTTGTGGTTTTTAAGCGGTTTAAATCTATCTGAGATTTCATCATATTTGAGAAATAATGTGTTTAGAGGTTTCATTCAGATCAATATTCGTGTGGGCACTTTGTATTGGCCAGGCTGGCAATGGCTAGGCTTCTGACTTTTTGGATGTTTGTATTTGGTACATCATGTCTTGGCTGGTGGCCAATAAAGGCAGTGACTTTCCAAGAACTCCGCTCCCTAGAAATGTTTATGGAACGTGTTCCGTCACATACAATGGGAACCTTTACACTAAAAAGAACGACTTATCTATCTTCTGTGTTTACACTGCGCTTTATATGACTGTGTTGACATTCAAAAAGCAAATGTGCTGCATTCTCCTGAGAGCATTTTTCACATATTTATGTAAATATTAGAACTTTGTAAAATACAACTACAATAGCCTAAATTTAAGACATTGGGCTTGATTTACGAAACGCAAATAGGCTGTTCAGGGGAGTTTTCTCCTAAACCTATTGAATGAGGTGAAATTTAACTTTGCAAGGATTAACTAATAACATGCAATCAAAATACCAAAAAAAATTTTTGCTTTTGATTGGATGATGAGAGTCTGCAGAACTTCACCTTATTCACTAAACTAAGGACAAATTCCCAGCTTATTTGCCTTTAGTAAGTCAGTTGCATTGCAAATGATATTGGGAGTATCTGTATTCTTTTAACGTTTTTATGTACTCATCATTATTGTTATTATTAGGGAGAATCCAATGTGTTGTGGTAGAAACTTCGTCCCCTTAAACATGGTTCCATCCTCCTCCACCAGTGCCAACTCATTTTCATCAAAGGGCTCTGCCTTCAGGACCTAGCAGAGCCCTGCATTACTCCTTTACTGTGCGGTCTTTGCACATGTGCACATGGAAACCCGTGTCGAAGGTCTCTACCAGGTTCTGTGCCTAGCAGAGCCCTTCAGCACATATGTGCACAATGTCATCCTTGCCTAGGCAAGAAAAGAGGCACACAAATAAGAGAGGTAGAGGGAGGGGAATGGAGCTATGTACACCCACATTGTCTTTCTGGGGAAGTATACCTGTGGAGCTCTGTATGATTATAAACTGATATCTGTCTTGAAGACTGGCCAGGTGCATGTGCACAATATATATATATATATACCGTATTTATTCGAGTATAACGCGCAAAATTTTCAACCAAAAAAAGAACTCAAAGTTTGGGTGCGCGTTATAAAACGAGGGTTGGTGGTGTGGGTGACGCGGTGGCGGCCGATCCATTGAGGGCGCAGGCGCAGGCTCTCACTGTACGCGAAGAAAAAAAAAAACGTCCCCTGTGTCGGCCCCGCCCCTTTAAGCAGGGGATCGGTTTTTTTTTCTACGTCCCCTTGTCGCGTACAGTGGGCGGCCCGAACTGGCGAGATGCACTGGTGGGGTGACGCAGTGGCGGCCGGTCCATTGAGGGCGCATGTGCTCACAAGAAAGAAGAAGAAAAAAACGTCCCCTGTGCCTCTTCATTTCGTATGGTCGCTTCTTCATTTCCTTTCCTCACCCACGCGTTACGGTAAGCATTGCTGTTTTGCTGTGTTCTTCATTTGATAATCATATTCAGTGTTCATATTATTTATTGATATACTGGTACCCGTTAGATGGCAACTCAGGGAATCAAGAGAAAACGTTCTGCATATGACGCTTCATTCAAGCTCAAAGTTGTTGGTCATGCTGAAATTCACGGAAATCGAGCAGCTAGCCGAGAATTCACTGTACCAGAGACGAATGTTAGAGAATGGAGAAAACAGAAAGTCGTCCTGAAAGATATGAATAAAAGCAAAAAAGCACAACGAGGGAGACAAGCCATGTACCCAGACATGGAGAAGGAACTTTATGAATGGATCATTGACCAAAGAAGTAGTGGGTACATTGTCACATCACTCCACATTAGACTTCAAGCCCAAAAGTTTTGCAAAGATTCAACCTTCAAAGCCTCTAATGGATGGACACAAAAGTTTATGAAAAGGCATGGACTTGTAATACGCCAGAAAACAAAGATAGCGCAGAAGCTGCCAAATGATTTAGCAGAGAAGATCACTTCATTCCATACCTTTATAATCAAACAACGCAAGCAGATTCATTTTGAAATTTCACAGATAGGCAATATGGATGAGACCCCCATGTGTTTTGACCTACCAGGCAACAGGACAATTGACAGCAAAGGGAAGCACACAGTCCAGATTAAAACCACAGGCCATGAGAAAACTCATTTTACGGTTGCGTTATCCTGTATGGCAGACGGTTTTAAACTTAAACCAATGGTGATTTTTAAAAGAAAGACTATTCCAAAAGGAGTTAAATTTCCACCAGGTGTCGTGATCCATTGTCATCCTAAAGGATGGATGGATGAGAAGGGCATCATTTTATGGTTAAATAAAGTTTGGAATACTAGACCAGGCGCACTACTGAAGAAATCCATGCTTGTATGGGACCAGTTCCGCTCACACCTGACAGACACTGTGAAAGACAAACTGAAAAGTCTAAAGACATTTCAAGCTGTGATTCCAGGTGGACTAACCTCTATTCTTCAGCCACTCGATGTTGTTTTAAAACAAACCCTTCAAAGACAGAGTCAGGGAAAAGTGGATTACCTGGATGAAATCCGAAGACAAAGAATTGACTGCAAAAGGAAACCTCAAGAAACCTGGCCTATCTCTCGTGACATCTTGGATTAAAACATCATGGGAAGACATGCCAAAAGAAATGATCATCAAGAGTTTTTTAAAAACAGGCATCAGCAATAAACTGGACGGCACAGAAGACGACCTGCTGTGGAATTCAGACTCAGAAGAAAGCGAAAGCGAAGAAGCTGGAGAAACAGATGTTCCTGCCAACTGGGACACTGATGATACATTAACTCTAGAAGAATGGGAACAACTCTTTAGTGTATCTGATGATGATGAATCTGACTTTGAAGCATTTTAAATAAATATTGTTACCGGTAATTTTATTTCGGTATTGTGTTTACCTTGTCAATAAATGATTTTTATCATGGCCGCACGTGTTCAACAACGTTTGTCAATTACAATGCTTGGTCTGAGCCGAGGAAAAGTGAAACAAAAATTTTATACCGATTTTTAATCGAAAATTAGGGGTGCGCATTATACACGAGTGCGCGTTATACTCGAATAAATACGGTATATATAGTACCCAGTATGGAGATGCAAAAAGGTAGGCTCATGTGTTAATGTGATAAAAAGAAAAAGGACCTACATTAAGGGGCCCTTTGAACCATATATATATATATATATATATATATATATATATATATATATATATATACACCAAATGGTTCAAAGGGCCCCTTAATGTAGGTCTTTTTTTTTTTTTTTTTTTTTTTTTTATCACATATTAACACATGAGCCTACCTTTTTGCATCTCCATACTGGGTACTAAATGTGATAGATGATTTTACTGGTCGATAGGAAGCTGGTGGGCTAGAGCACTACTATGCAAGCTAGGGGCATTTTTTTAGGTTCCGGGCACAATATTTAAAATGTTGAGGGGCTAGTAGAATACTAGTCACTTTGGATCAAATTCAAGTCTAATATGCATCAAAGGGCTCTGCCTACAGGACCTAGCAGAGCCTTGCTGTGCACATGCACAGGAAATGAGGTTCCAACCCTCCTTTACTGCGGCGTCCTTACGCATGTGTACAAGGAAACCCGTGTGTGTGTGTGTGTGTGACTTTTGTCTTTTTTTTTTTTTTTTTTCAGCCACACTAACTCTGTAACTATATAATCGTCTTAACTGAATAAAATGAATTGGTCAAAAATTGTAATATCACTTGTAAAATATTAGATGGATTAAAAAGTAGATAATTTTATATATGTTCCAATGCTGTACTCCAGAGCTCAGCTCTAAAGTCGGGGGTATCCCCCGGAAACGCGCCAGTTTGGCAGGGTTGCATTTTCACACTCAGTTTCCACACTGTGGCATCTTGTGTTTTTTTAAAGCGGAGCTCCACCCAAAAGGGGAAGTTTCTGCTTTAAGCCTTTGTCCCCCGCTCCCCATTAAGGATTGGCAACATTGGGGAACGGGTATCCGAATTTGACAGGTGCCCGCTCCCACTTCCACTGTGATTGCCTAGGCGATCGGAAGCTGACGTTGTCCTACCCCCCCCCCCCCCCCCCCCGTAGTCTTCTGGGACACGTGACAGGTGCCCGCTCCCACTTCCACTGTGATTGCCTAGGCGATCGGAAGCTGACGTTGTCCTCCTACACCCCCTCCCTTGACGTGACATGTCCCAGAATTCTACGGGACCATTCACAAAGCGCAGCATCTCTCACACATGCGCAGTGGGCACCCAGCTGTGAAGCCGCAAGCTGTCACAGCCGGATGCCCACACTAAAGGTGCCGGCAAGAAAGGACACCGCTGGACCGAAGGACAGGTATGTGTCTGCATTTTAAAAGTCAGCAGCTACAGGTTTTGTAACTGCTGACTTTCTTTTTTTTTTTTTTTTTTTTTTTTTTTCCAGCTGGAACTCTGCTTTAATGTCCTTTTCTCTAATACTTTTGTGAGTATTCACTTGGCATTTATTGAATTTTATACAAATGAATCGCTGGTAATGCACTAGGTGTTTGCGCCTTCCTGTTCTCTCTCTTTGTAGTTTCTACGGGATTCCCCTATATGAGGAGGGCTGCACTAGGCGTTCTCGGTGGAACTTATGGTCATCCATTTTTGGCCCCTTCTGGCAGTGGCTGCATTCTGAGCGCTGGGAGTGACTGTGTTGTTCTTCTAAGCAGTTCCTTGATTGATTTCACTTGTTGCTTAGCTTGGTGTCAACTAGGACTTGGTGTCAACTAGGGCCATTGGAATCCATTTTAAACACTGTCCATGTGTTTTTGATGTAGAATAAAAACACACTTTATCACATCTGGTGTGAATGAGCCCTTCGAGGCATGTTACTGAATATTTTTCAGGCCACTCATGGTATTGAAACTGCTGCAGTGGTGGTAATAATCCAGACTGAAAGGCTACCATGTATGACTGAGGATTTGCTCTGTCAAGTGAACTCATGTACTTGGACCCCGATGATGACACTCCAAGCCAGCATTTACACTTGACCAGAGTGTATTCCTGCTGGTTTTTGAAGTGTGATAGAATTTGAAACCTCAGGCTAATTTAGGATTACACAAGTATTTTCTGCTGGAATGTTTTGAAATCTCTTGCCGTGAACTTGCCTAGTTCCCATTTAAAAACTAAAATACAATCCATTAAAGTGGTTGTAAAGGCTGAAAGGGTTTTTTTTTTTTTTTTTAAAACCTTCATCCACTCTATGCATGAAAGTAAAAACCTTCAGTGTACAGCTCCTCTGTCAGCCATCCCTAATACTTCCCTAAGCCTGATCCCAATCCAGCAATGTGCACGAGAGCAGTGGCTCTCCAAGGTCTTTCTCTCCTCATTGGCTGAGACACAGCAGCAGGAGCTGGAGCGGGGTTGGGTTTACTTTAAGACCCAAACGCTCGCTATTCCGGTATGTGTCATACATCCATCTTTATGGTGTAAACTTTATGCAGAGTAGTATGGTTTTGATAACAATTATACACACTGACCTCTTCCAGAATGGAGAACGATTATACACACTGACCTCTTCCAGAATAATGCAGGCCATAGACGGGTCGAAAATCGTCCGTTTAAAAAAAAAAAAAAAAATCGGTCGTTCGAACGGCCGACATTACCACCAATAGTAAAAAAAAATCGTCCGATTTTCTTCCCGTCTACGGCTCGCATTTAACCCCATAATTCTGTCCCTTGCAGAGAGCTCCGCTATTATATTTTACATGAAAAAGTCTTGCGGTTGCAAAATTGTATCCATTTGTATCCATTTCGGATACAGATGGTTTTATACGGATACAAATTGATACATTGTTGCAACCGCAAGACCTTTTTCATATAAAATATAAATAGCGGACTGGAATCCTTCTTCTTCCTTCTTCTTCCTTCTTCTTCCTTCCTTCTTCTTCCTTCTTCTTCCTTCTTCTTCCTTCTTCTTCTTCTTCCTTCTTCCTTCTTCCTTCTTCCTTCTTCCTTCTTCTTCTTCCTTCTTCCTCCCCCTCCTCCTCCCCCTTCCTTCTTTTTTTTTTTTATTGGTAAAACGATTGGCCGATTTTGCCCATCATTGCCAGGAAAATCGCAGCCGATCGTCAAAATTGGCCGCAAATTTTCCAACATGCCGATTAAAAAAAAGTGCAAAAAGCCTGAAAAATGGCCAACCAATTAACCCACTAATGGTGCAAAAATCATCCATTTTTTTTTTTTTTCGGACGAAAAATTGGCCGATTTTTCGGCCTGTCTATGGCCTGCATTAGACATACTGTACAGAATTGCTGCCTCCTTAATACACATTGATCACATTGCTGCTGTTCTGAATGAAGGTACAATGTGTGTGTTATGTACAACTGACATTACAGGGTTTTTCCGAAGGATCATAATCCTTAATCCTCAGATCTCCTTCGTAACCTTCGTACTGTGATAAGCTGTCACAGGGCCTGGGCCTGGATCACTGCCTGCCCTCTGTACACACATGGAGCTCTGCCAGTACCCTGGAACAAACTTCGATGACTGGGCATGCCAGAGCTGAATTTAGAATCCTGACAATTTACAAATGTTAACTCTTGGTCTTTCGTTTGACATTTTTATATTATTATTATATAGGATTTATATAGCGCCAACAGTTTGCTCAGCACTGTACATTACAATGGGAGACAATACAGCAACAATACAGTTCAATACAAGGGATAGGAGGGCCCTACTCCTTGGAGCTTACAATCTAGGAGGGAGGGGCTAATGGTACAAAAGGTAGTAATTGTGGGGGATGGACTGGTTGGAAGAGTAGAAGATTCCATTATTAGCTGAGGGCAGGATAGGCTTCCCTGAAGAGACAGGTTTTCAGAGATCTCCTAAAAGTGAGCAGAGTAGGCGATAGTCTGCTAAATTGGGGTAGAGAGTTCCAGAGGATGGGGGAAGCTCTGGAGAAGTCCTGGAGATGAGCATGGGAGGAGATAAGGGAGCTAGAGAGTAGGAGGTCTTGTGAGGAGCGGAGAGTATGGTCTTGGTGACATTTAGAGACAAGATTGGTGATGTAATTTGGGGCAGAGTTATAAATGGATTTATATGTTATTGTTAGTGTTTTGAATTTTATCCGTTGGGCATTGGAAAGCCCGTGGAGGGATTGGCAGAGAGGGACATTGATGTGTATATAACATGTCCCTAAACCCACAACAGTAAAACAGTCTGTATATGCAGTAAAGCATGCTTGTTCTACTCACTGTGGAACCTAAAGGGTTAAATCCTCTGCATTGTGTAAAAAGGATGTTTGATCCTGTCTTCTCTGATCCTCCCCTTCTTCTACTATCCCCAATCCATCTGCTGATAGAACAGAGCCCTGGAGGCAAGCTGCACATGCTCAGTTTGGTGTGTATTGCTAGAGAGTTTTTTCTTTTTTTCTGGGAGGGTGTATGTGAACAGCACAGGGCCAATCGGCGCTGTCCAGACAGATGGTAAGGGGTCATACAGCCTCATAAGATAATCAGAGAATGCAAACTCCCTCCTACAAGATTAATCGGTGCTCTGCTGGACACTGATAGAAGACACAAGACTGCTATATACTGTTGATGAGAAAAGGTATTTAGCAGTTTATATTTACTAAAATAATTGCATTTCCATGTTTTTTTGTGTACTGTGGGAGACCAGATATAGTGAATGCAGAGTCCTGGGTTTAGTAACACTTTAAGGTATGTCTTATTATATTATTTTTGGAGTTTTTTCATAGGGCTGAGTCAAGTTTGACAAGATTGCACAAAGTAGAGAACTTTCTGCTACATCATTATATTGTAACTCTTTGTAGTTTTTTTTTTTTTTTTTTTTTTTTCTTACACTTGCAATCGGGGAGTGGTAAAAATAGGTGGTTGAGCTTTCAATTTTACTAGCGCCCCCACCCCCCAACCCTTAAGCTTACGGGTTTGTACACGTACCCTGGTCATGATGCTTTACCTCTCCATAGAGAAACAATGATACCCCATGTTACATTCTTTGGGCAGTGCTGCCTTGAATGCAACCCGTGCAAGTGACTAGGGCTGTGCCGCAGCCAAGAGCCAATTGGTAGGCTTGCTCTTGTGACGCAGTATTCCCATTCAAAATCCCAATTTGACTGTCAGAATAAAAAAAAAAAGCATTCAGGAGGCTGCAGTTCCACCTCCCCAATGGATGACACTCACTCCTTTGCTGTGCTCTGAAAAGCATTCCACTGCAGATTGCTTTTCAGAGATCACCACAAATTAGGCCTTCTATAGTTAGTCTGGGTGAAAAAAACAAGACATTAGTATTCTGTTATATATAGAATACCGGTATATAGCTGCAAACATTTAGGGCTTTTTCACACTGGTGGTATTACTTACTGACCTCTGAAAAGCAATTTGCTATGTGCAGTGGACCACTTCAGAGAGCTGAATAGCCATGGTTGGAAGGCGTTCAGGAGGTACTACGTGTGTGTGTTATATTGCAGGCCAAGCGTTTTGCTTGCAGTTATGGTGCGGTTCCATTTATCTCAATTGAGAAGTTTGACTGGCAGACTTAAAGCTGAGTTCCACTTGAGGAAAAAAAAAAGTCAGCAGCTACAAAAACTGTAGCTGCTGACTTTTAAAATACAGCCACTTACCTGTCCCTGGGTCCAGCTGTGTCCTCACTACCGCTGGTTTCACCGGCCGTCTTCTCTCCATGGCACCAGCATCTTCAGTGTGGGCACCTGGCTGTGACAGTTTGCAGCTTCACAGCTGAGTGTCTACTGCGCATGTGCGAGAAGCGCTGCGCTTTGTGAATGGCCTGTCGCGTGTCCTAGAAGACTACAGGGAGGGAGGGGTGGAGAACACCTTCCACTTCTGATCGCCTAGGTGATTGCAGCAGAAGTGGGAGCAGGTACCTGTCAAATTTGGGTATCTGCTCCCCAAAGGTGCCAATCCTTAATGGGGAGCGGGAGACAAAGGCTTAAAGTGGAACTTCCCCTTTTGTGTGGAGCTACGCTTTAAAATTGCTTACTGCAGCCTCAGCTGCCTCAGTCACTGCATGTGTACAGCCTGTCGGGCTGTAATGTCAGAATTCTGATGGGTGGTAAAAACCGCAGCTCAGCTACCTCTTTTTAGCATTCTCCTGGCCGACAATGCAAAAGAGCCCTTAAAAATCATTTTTAGGAGAACTTCACTGCTTAGCAAGATTATGGTAGTTATCAAATGCAATAGTACCTCTGAAGGTTGTGAAATGCGAAGTACATAGTTATGCCATGGATAAACGTGTGCAATACATTGCATGTACCCGAATCACAAACGTTACATGACATGGCTGCCATTTTAGGTAGAAAGAAGCAAGTCCATTCCCTTACTAC